GTTTTAAAAATAACATTAATGGGGCTTGGTAGAGTTTCTGAATTAGCTCATCTTACCCTTCAAGCACTAGCATCGCATATGGGATCCAGTTCATGTCCCAGCTGTTCCACTTCCCATCCAGCTCCCTGCTTGTGGCCTGGGAAAGTCGGGGCTGGGCAGCCAGAGATGACGCGGAAGCAGAAAATGGAAAGGATCCTTCCAAAGCAGAGGGTAGAGGCCTCTGGCAGATACCCACGCGCAGGGTACATTACAGTCAGCAGGACGAAGCTCCTGGCCCCGAGGGGCAGGGAGGAGAAGAAGGCAGTCGGGGTTATAGCTGACAAACACCCTTGCACCCACACAAGTCTTCTTCACACCCTATGCTGAGACGGTTATTCCAGCTGCTTTCTGGTGTAAAAAATCAAATGCTGTTGGACTCGGCCCACATGTCAGTGGGTGCCGACATCCAGTCTGGTCTCGCCTGCCCCCAGCCCCTGGCGCGGGGGCCCACTTGGCTTGGCTATACCGATTCTCTCTCTCTCTCTCTTCTTTTTTTTTTTTTTTTTTGCTTATTCCAATTGCTTCCAGGATTTTCACCTTGTCTTTTCCCTCTCAGCTCTGAGCACCTGTCAGCTTCAGGATGCTGAGTTAGACCTGCCTTTCAGCCTTCAGTTCAGAAGGATGACTGTGGTGGTGCAGTTCCATCTCTGAATACTCTTTAATTTTTTTCAAATTATTAGATACTGGACATTGTTTGTTAGGTAACTGTAGGGGTTCCAGATGGTATTGCTTTTCTCCAGAAAGGGTTCATCTGTTTTCTGCTAGGTAGCTGTGATGGAAGGCTTCTCTGATCCTCTTAATATCTGAGTGGGTGAGTCATGACTTGCTTGTAGCTCAAGTGAGATTCACTCTATTTCTGCTTCCTCCCTACTTTTCTTTTTCTTTCAAGTTTTATTTCTATTGGACAGTCAGATATACAGAGAGGAGGAGAGACAGAGAGAAAGATCCTATGTCCATTGATTTACCCCAAGTGACCACAATGGCCAGAGCTGAGCCAAACCAAAGCCAGGATCCAGGATCCTGGAGCCTCTTCCGGGCCTCCTGCACAGGTGCAGGGTCCCAAGGCCCTGGGTCATCCCTGACTGCCCTCCCAGGCCAGAAGCAGGGAGCTGGTTGGGAAATGGAGCTGCCGGGACCAGAACCAGCATCCATATGGGATCCCAGCGCACGTGAGGTAAGGGGCCTTAGCCGCTGGGTCCTATTTTTTCTCTGCTCTTAGACATAGCCCTGCATAGCTTTTGGTTGGGACTGTCGAAAACTCAGGTCTACTTTGTAGCAAATTTCATCCTTTTATGCCCTTTGAGAATTTAGGGAGGTCCCTGTTGTGCTTTCCCCAGTCTCTGTCACTGAAGCCCGGTGTGATGCCTTCTGTCGGCCCTTAGTGTTAACTGTTTGTGCTTACCCTATAGCTAGCTGGTTTCGCAAGTGAACCCAGGAAAAGTGACTTGCAAATCCCAGCTCTTCTTTTCTAGAACCCTCCCTCTGTGGTTTTTATCTCTTAAGCTGTAATAAACTACAGGTGTTAGGAGATTTTTGATTACTTCTTGTTTTGTAAATTACTTTAATGTCATTGAGCACATTTTAAATCCTATTATACAGAAATAAAGACATAGGAAGATGGTTTATTAAAATATTACGAGACTGGCACCATGATGTAGTAGGTTAAGTCTCTGCCTGCTGTGCCAGCATCCCCTATGGGCGCTGGTTTGAGTTGCAGCAACCCTACTTCCAGTCTAGCTCCCTGCTTTATGGTCTTGGAAGGCAGTAGAGGATGGTCCAAGTACTTGGGTCCCTGCACCCATGTGGGAGACCCAGAAGAAGTTCCTGGCTTTGGATCCACTCAGCCCTGACCATTGTGGCCGTTTAAGGAGTGAACCAGTGGATAGAAGATCTTTCTGTCTCCATCACTCTGCTTTTCAAAAAAAAAAAAGAATGAATAAAATGTTACAAAGTAGGTAGATTAGCATCCTAGCTTGATTTTAATATCTCCTGGCAAGGCATGATTATTGTATGCAGTCTAAATCAGCACTGAAAATTGCCTTTAAAATCACACAAAGTCTAAATACATTATTTTTCAGTAATGCAAGCCGTTTTTTGCGCTGCCACGGCACTATGTGGGTCATTTGCTGTTTTCTGAGCTAAAAATGTAGGAGAGTCATAGGTTTGTATTTTTTCCCTTTCATATATATTCAGGTATTTTTATAGTTGTTCATTAATTTCATTTTGCTATCTGAATTGTATTGTGACACATGTACAGAATCCTGTGCTGTGTTGACTTCACATGCACAGTGTAATGAATTCCTGAACTGAAGTGAGGAACACTGCGGAAGCGTGCCGTCCGCTCCTTTCCCGTCCCTCCTGTGGCACCCTCCCCCGCTGTGTTGGAGTGATTAGTTCCTTTTGCCTTTTTGGAATATATGCCTATGATTAATTTTCCTTACTTTGAATATTGTGTTAGTGGCCTTGTATAGGCTTTCTTTTGTGTTTGCTTCTCTTTCTACCCAGCAAGCTTGTTCTGTGAAGAGCCAGACTGGAATTCTAGGCTCCTTGAACTTCCAGGTTATTCAGCTCTGCTGATGTAGTACAAAAGCAGCCATAAACCTCCGCAGATGAGCATGACAATGCCCAAGTAAAGCCTTTTGTACAAAAATAGCTGTTGAATTTCATCTAGGGTGGGCCATACATTGCTGTGCTGAAGGTTTTTCATCATCACATACTGTTCAACGGACTGTCATTATTTAGTCACTGTGCTGAATGGATGCTTAGACAAGTAGGTTGGTTTGTAATTTTTGACTACAAAGGATCATGGTTCTCTCAGGATACTGGTTCTTCTTGTGAGATTTTTTTCTTGTGTGGTACAAAGAAGGAATCGCGAGGCCACAGAGTGTATGTGTCATACTTAAGCTGTATTTGATCATACCAAACTATTTCTTAAAATGGCCAGATCATTTTGTACCTATTACCGACATCTGTTGCTCCTCATGCCTCAAAAATTTGCTGATGGTGTTGTCTGTCTGTTTCCTTTAGGCTTGATTTATTTACTTGAAGGACAGAGTGACAGAGATCTTTGATCCACTGGTTCTCTTCCCACGTGCCCGCAGTAGCCGAGAATGGGGCTAGGCGGAAGCTAGGAGCCTGGAACTCCATCCCCGTCTCTGACATGGTTGGCAAGAACCCAGGTACTTGGCCGTGATCCACGGCGTAGCAGGAAGCTGGGTCAGAAGTGGAGTAGCTGTGACTCTGAGCAGCAGTCTGAGGATACGGATGTCCAGTTATGGCTTAGTCCACTGCATCATGACACCTGTCCAATTTAAAGCATAAACATTTTATTCAGTGTGTTATGAATTGTTATCATGGTATGAATTTCCATTTTCCATTGAATGATCACTTTTTATGTATATATTGGCTTTTTATTTCCTGTTTTCTTATATCTTCTGTGGTATCATTTTTTTCTTTATTATTTTTTTAAGTCAGGTATACAGAGAGGAAAGTCAGGTATACAGAGAGGAGAAGAGATAGAAAAAGATCTTCCATCCACTGGTTTACTCCCCATGCAGCCTTAGTTGCCGGAGCTGAGCCTATCCGAAGCTTTTAAATATTTATTTATTTATTATTGGAAAGGCAGATACGCAGAGAGGAGAGACAGAGAAGGTCTTCCATCCTTTGATTCACTCCCCAAGTGGTCATAATGGCCGGAGCTAAGCTGATCCAAAGCCAAGAGCCGGGAGCCTCTTCTGGGTCTCCCACGCAGGTCCAGGATCCCAAAGCTTTGGACTGTCCTTGAATATTTTCCCAGGCCACAGGCAAGGAGGTGGATGGGAAGTGGGGCTGCTGGAACACGAGCCTGTACCCATTTGGGATCCCGGCGTGTGCCAAGCGAGGACTTAGCGGCTAGACTGCCACACCAGGCCCTGTGCACACACTCCTAAGATGGAACAGACTATTTCATGTTTCATTCCTCTTTTTACCTTATGAGTACTTCTTTCTTTTCATCTTTTTTAAAAAGATTGTTTTTTAATGTTTTATTGGAAAGGTTGATCTTACAGAGAGAAGTAGAAACAGAAAGATCTTCCATCAGCAGATTCACTCCCCAAAATGCCCTCAGTTGCCAGGTTTGAGCCAATCCAACCTGATCCAAAGCCAGAAGCTTCTTGCTGGGCTCCTGTGCAGGTGCAGGGTTGCAAAGATTTGGCCATCCTCTATTGCTTCCAGGCCATAAGCAGGGAGCTGCATGGGAAGAAGGACAGCTGAGGCAGGAACTGGCTATGGTGTTCCAGTGCTTGAAGCTGGAAGATTAGCTAGTTGAGCCATCACAACAGCCCCTTCTTTTCATTCTTTTTAAAAAAAGTACTGGAGCTGGCATTGTGGCATAATGGGTTAAGCTGCCACATACAGTGCTAGCAAGCCCATGTTAACACCAGGTCAAGTACCGGCTGTTCCACTTCTGATTCAGTTCTCTGCTAGTATGCCTGGGAAGGCAGTGCGAGATGGCCCAAGTCATCCTTGTCGAAGACCTGAATGAAGTTGCTGGCTCCTGGTCAGCCTGGCCTGGCCTCGGCTATGCTGGTCACTTGGGAAATGAGCTAGCAGATCGGAGATCTCTTTCTCTGTATCTCCTTCTCTCTGTATAACTCTGCCTTTCAATTATATAAAATACATCTTTGCAAAAAGGAAAATAATCTTCACAAGCTTTGTGGAGATTGTGCAGGGTAATGTTCATCAAAATGCCCGGCGTGTCACAGGTGTTTAGTGAACACGGCTGCTGTTAGCGGGAACGGTACGTTAGTTGTGTTAGTGGGTGGTGATTAGTTATTGCTGTGCATTATGTAGTTGTGGAGGACGTTGGAGATTTTGCTTATGTTTGCATTGGCCATACTATCTCAGCCATCTCTTTTCTAACTTGTAAAATTGAAAATTGGATCTAGTGGATTTAAGTAAATGTTAATTTCTCTTTTCTACAGATTGATCCTGAACTGGAAAAGAAACTGAAAATGAATAAAGTATCTTTAGAGTCAGAATATGAGGTATGGTGTGTTACTGTCTTTGATTTTATAATTTTCTTTCTGGCCAGTGATTGTCTGACTAAGGAAAAGCTTAAATTATTAGTAGCACAGATAAAAATTATTCCTGGCATGTATGGTATTTGGTAGACTACACATTGAGTGTCCTTTACCTGAAATGCTTGGGACCAGATACAGTGCAGTTTTTGGAATCTTTTTATATTTTGGAATATTTGCGTAGGTCTTTACCAATTGGACATGTATACTCCAAAAATTCCAAAATCTGACATGTTCACCAATAAAGATTAGTAATGTTTAGCCTGTGTGTGGTCCTTTGAAACAAAAATAAGTTTGAATTAATTTTCATTTATTGTAAGCAAGTGTGTTTCAGACAGACAGGGGATTTTCAAATGAAAAACAAAAAATCCTGGAGGAGAAAACCTGGAGACATGTTTGTGATGTGGAGTCTGAAGGGTCTATTTAACCAGGAGAACCGAAGACTGCACAGTCAGGATTGACGTGTTCATACCCGAAAGTTCAAAGAATGGTACAAGAAAACCAACAAGTTAGAAATCCTGGGAAGTTAAAGTTCAAATGAAATTTCACATCTGAGTAGCGTAGATCAGAAAGTGTGTTAGCACATCGTGAGGGAGGACAATCTTCATCTCGTTTGGTTTGCTGGTGTTTTGGAGTGGATCATTTTTCCTGGCTCTTTGTTTATGTGGTTATTTTTATTGAAAGTTGAGACCCTAAATGTCACATGATGAGTGTTGGTTTTCATCTGAGCAGACAGCTTAGCTACTGAGTAGTTATCCTGAGTTTGCTTCTGGTTTTCTTTTGGGGGAGGGAGGAACATTGTTCGTGGTTTTTGAGTTCTTTCTTTGCTTTGTGTGTTCTATTTTGTTGCTGTATGATGGAGACTATGGCAAGGCCACAGTGGACCCTGGGTCCCTCTAATCTCTCTCCCAACTGTCTGTCTACCCAAGGGATCATGTCAGGGCTTGCATTTAAATGAAGTCTTATTCCTAGGCGTAATCCTTTATTCCTGTACAACAAGGTAACAGCAGGGTAGTAAGAAGCATCTCCACTCTGGCAGGACTCAATATCCAATATTCCTTTAAGTATTCCTTTAAAAATTTTATTTTTATTTGAAAGGCAGCCTTTACCAAGAGAAGAAGGACAGAAAGTCTCTCATCCACTGCTTCGCTTCCCAAATGTCCATAATGGCTAGATCTGAGCCCATTAGGAGCTGGTTCTGATTCTCCCACATGGGTGTAGGGGCCCGAGCATTTGAGCCATCCTCTGTTGCTTTCCTAGGCTAAAGACAGGAAGCTGGATAGGAAGTGGAACAGCTGGGACATGAACCAGTGCTTATATGGGATGCTGGCACTGTAGGCGGGGAATTGGCCTGCTCTGCCCCTATACCAGTCTCAAAATCCAAAATTCCTGACACTGCTTTTCCTCGGTGTTTCCTTACTTGCGCCACATGCAGTGCTATAGTATTTGGCTATTAAACAGTAAATCTTGGGTGGTCTTGCCCAGCACATAAAACAGACCATTCTTCAGCCCCTCTGCAAGTGTTAGAAAATGTCTACAGGCAAATCTTTACATACATCTCTATACAGAGCATACCAGTTTTTACGTGACTTCTGTTAACTTTGCATTTCATCCAAGAACTGTTTTTATTTCTGTTCATCATATTTATTTATGCTATCTGGGTAATGGCCTTTATTCTTTAGTAAAACTTCTCTATCAACCACACTGAGCAAGTACTCTTCCTCATACTAAATGAACAGATTGACATTTATTATAGATTCTTGGTCAAATGATAAGTAAAATTTACACAGCTTTTCATTCATTGCTTCCCCATTACTTGTGCTACTGGTAAATATAGGAAATACTTCAAAACTTTTGTCAATAATGGGATTAGAGATGATTCTGTTAGGAAAAGTTTTAAAAGTAATAATATGTATTTTTCGTGAACTTTCTAAAAGCGACTTCATACGAGTACTCATGTCTTGCCTGTGATGATCTTATGAAAGGTTTGGTAATAAAAGAAAAGCAACATACATTACCCCACCTGTCCTTTACATTGTTACTTATGAGGGCCTTAATGCAGAGATAGCTTCAGTCATTTGCTTAAGATGATCCGACTAGCTGGTCAGAGATTAATGGTTAGTATTGGAGTGTGCATTAAGCTGTGTTAATGCCTTTGTCTTTGAACTGTCTTGTGTTTTTTTCTGCTTTTTTCTAGCTTACTCAGTTATTTCAGAATAATCAAAATAGATTAGGAAAGTTACTATCAGGTCAGCAAAGAGTGGAGAAATATAAGGGTGCTTCAGAGAGTTTTCAGGAGATATTAAGAGATGCATTTAGTTTAGTACAAACATACCTTTAAATCCATGCACGGTTTTTAAATAATGCTTTTTCCATGAACTTTCGGAAGACCCTCATATGAAGGATTTCATTATTTTTCCTTCCATTTTCGTGAAACTTTGAGGTGCACTTGTGCACGTTCTGTTCACCCTGCCCTCGCTGCCGTGCTCGGGCGACGCTGCGTCAGCCGCAGGACCACCAGACTGCAGCGAGATCAGATTCGATTGCCCGACAGACCTCGCCTCGTGGCAGCTGTGGATAAAGTGTTTTTCATTCTCCAGGCAGAGACAGATCATCTGTCTCTTTTTCCCTTTGGAACACTTTAGGGACTTTGTTCCTTTCTACAGTCAGCCCTCAGATTTATACTTTTATGTTCCCAGCTTCTTCCCTTTCATGGCGTTCTCAAAAACACATAGGTAGACTCTATTTTAATTATCCTATTATTATGTAGGAAAAGATAGGCATTAATATCAATGGCAAATCAGAAAGAATGAAATTCTACTATTTGCAACAAAATGGTCCCAACTAGAGACCATTATGCTTGATGAAATAAGCCAATCCCAAAAGGACAAATATCACATGCTCCCTCTGATACAAGGCAAACTTCATGCATAATACAAAATCAATAGATACATAGGTAAAAATGCATGTGCATTTATTCATGTAGAAGAGCTTCGTAATTGAGACTGTCATACCAAGATAGAAAGATAACAATGCAGTATGTACCTATACTTCCAAATCAAAGATGGATTCCCAATGAAACTGTTAAAAATGCGTCTTGACAGAAGGATGGACTTCCGGCTGTTTTTGAAGGACTATACCATTGTAATAATACAGGGGAAATCATTGAAAGAGGGGACTTGGGGAGGAGGGGTGGACAAGTTCCTGAGCGTATGCACTGTATCATAAAATAAATTTTTAAAAATGAAAGGATAAAAAAATCAGTGGTAAGCAAGTAGAGCTCTAAATCCTAGGAAATTCAGCATTTCAATTATTATACTCATGCAGTTGGTTTATTTGCTAAAGTCATAATCGAGGATCTATTGAATTATTTTCCTTCATTTATTCAATAATGTCCCAACCAAAGCCATAGGACTTTTCTAATATATGGTGTTTTGGTTTTTTTTTTTTTTTTTTTTTTTTTGTGGTTCAACAGAAGATAAAGGACTCCGCTTTTGATGACTGGAAGAATATTCGAGGACCCAGACCTTGGGAAGATCCTGACCTCCTCCAAGGACGAAATCCAGAAACCCTTAAGAAGACTTGATTCTCTTGATTTTTTAACAATGAAAATATTATCAATTGGACTTCTAGTACATGTTACAAATCCAGTAGGAAAACCAGTTTCAGATAGCAGATTATAAAAGATACTGTCAGGTCAAATGGATATGAATAATCTGATAGTGGATAATTTTGATAAAAATTATGTTCCAGTCTTTATACTTCTCAGCTGTTTCATTTGCAAATGAAAATTAGTATTTCTTTTTATTTTGCACTTTTCAATAAAAATGTGAATATTGAAGAATGATTTTGTTCTCCAGCTACCATCCGCACCCCTTCCAGCAGCCACTAGGGTAACAGTTTGTTACTTTGCCATGATTGCTAATGAGAACAGTAGGTCTGGATCCAAATTCTCATTAAAATCGAACTGATTTGTACCAAGCCTATGTAAGAAAATATTAGTGACCACAGTCTAATAAAAGTCTTTACTTATAGTATAATGCATTGGCTAATTCATCTGCAGAGCATTATCTGAAGATTTGTTTATGCCGTTATGCTTATTTAAAAATTAAATTATTCCTAGGTAAGCCAAAATCATATAGTATATGATTCTACATAGATGCAAAAATTCTATTGTCTATAGATTACTATAATTTGGGAAATACTGACTGAAAGTACGCCTTATGTATATGACTTAAAGTAAACTGTGTGAGTAATAGCATTTCATAGGAAAAAATCATCTCAGAAATGGGTAGTTAATTCAAATGCAAAGGAAACTATAGGAAAAGATAAAAGAAAGTTTTCTGGATTTAGGAAACATAGTCCTGTTAGAAAGTTCTTACCTAGCAGGAAAAATCATAAAAGGAAAATTTGATAAATTAACTTCATCAGAATTGCAGACTTTTACTTCCTAAGGAATCTTAAAAAAGAACCTACTGAGAGAAAGGATTTGTAAAGCCATCTATCTGGAAAGACTCACATTTAAAATATAAAAAGTACTTTAAAATATTGAGACAGTACACTGATTGGGATATTTAGATGGCAAGCGCATGAAGAGGATTTTTGACATCATTAACCATTGGAAAAACAGTCCCTTCCTGCCACCAGGGTTTCAAAGGGAAGTGCTGTTCAAGAACATGTGCCGCTGTGGTTTGTAAAAAAATGTTCTTCTAGTGTTGCTTTGTTTCTCCTGACTTCTTATTTTGATGTGTCATCCTTGCTGCCTGTGGTGTCATGTTAGGAATCCCCTCAATGATTGGATAGGCTATTCCCAACTCTTCATTAATCAATTCATTTGTTGATACTTCATATCTGAGCGGCTTCTTGGACAGCGGCCACACCAGAAAGTCCAGCAGGGCCGGGTCTAAGGCGCTGGGCGGCTGCCCAGTCCTCCCACCCTGACCCACCGAGGACCGCAGCCTTGTCGAGTGCAGGCACCTGCTGGCGAGCTGGGATGCCCACAGCGGGGAAGCCAGCTTATAAATGTATTATCTTGGAAAATTATTTCACTACTTGATATCTCGGTTTCCTCATATAGAAATGGGACTAACCCTAAGGGTAGCAACATCATAAGGTTGATTATGTACATACAACTAAAATAATGAGAGAATGCAGTAAGTGAAGGTTAGCTATTATTAACAGCACAAGGAAATTATAAGGATAATTATAAAGTACAAAAAGGATGATTAGTAACAAAGTTCTTATCAAGTGTCACATCTAAAATAGTATGGTTAACAGCATCTCTCAGCAATCTATTCAGTCAGTAGTGATGAATTCTATGCAGAAAGAACTTTCTAAATGAGTTGTCTCTTTTCTGTAGAAGCAGCATTTAGTGAAAACTGTGCGCTGGTGGACCTGAGCTGGACTCAGCTCCATCACTCAGAAATTGTGTAATCCTATGCCAATTACACAGCCTCTTGGAGCGCAATGTGCTCATCTGATAATTGAAGTTTTTGGTTTTCTCTGCCCAGATGATATGCATGGTAGTCTGTGAGAAAGCAGGAAGGAAAAGATGGGTCATGGAGTGTTTGCTATTATTAGTTCATGAAAAATAATAATGCTTATAGATATACTAGATATTCTGTCCTCTAGGCATTACTTCAACTAATTCAGCTTTTAGATTTATCTGTCTTTAAACGACGTTTTGCCTGTGGGCAGCATTACTGGATTGATAGGAGTGGACAAAGATTTCTAAAAGAGAACGTTTGGGGGCCCAGTATGGTAGCTTAGTGACTAAAGTCCTCGCCTTGCAAGCCGTGGGGACCCATATGGGAGCCAGATCTAATCCCAGCAGTCCCACTTCCCATCCGGCTCCCTGCTTATGGCCTGTAAGGGCAGTCAAGGATGGCCCAAAGCCTTGAGACCCTGCACCCATAAATCCAGAATCCTGGCTTCTGGCTTCAGATCAGCTCAGCTCCGGCTGTTGTGGCCACTTGGGGAGTGAATCAGTGGACGGAAAACCTTTCTCTTTGTGTCTCCTCCTCTCTCTATATATGACTTTCCAATAAAAATAAATAAGTCTTTTTTTTTTTTTTTAGAAAAATAGGATGTTTGACTGGATGATATTTGAGTGATTTCTTTAGATTGTGAGTGTTGGAGTACTTCGCGATGCTGCCAACAGCCATCCTTCCTAGTCTACACAGCCTTGAAGGGCCCGTTTCAGGCCACCAGAGGGCACTCTAGGACCGCACAGCATTCAGATTTGTAGCTTAGCCATTTCCAGAGACCCAGAGTGCCTTAAGGGTGGGGGGTGAAAGTGTCACACTGAAGGATTCTTCTGTTCTCCCTCTAGACTCAGAGGCCAGTTGGTCCCTGGGCTGGAGGATCACTCTGGCTGCTTCAGGTACTCCGTTCTCTTTGTGCACAGATGCCTTTCCAAGGAGCAGCTGACATTCTTGCACGTTCTTGCACGTGCTGCTCTGAGGAACTACAAACCACGTGTGCCTTCTGGAATTGACTCTTCTGTCTACCATTTCCGGTTACCCTTATGCTTCTTGTCTTACTCTCCGACTCCTTCTCAGCTCTCTTCTCCTTGTCTTGACGTATTGATCCCAAGAAAGCAGGTCTACTCTGCTTCAGGTGCCCCTGGGCAGTAACACCTGAATCCTCTTTACGGTCCTTTGGATGCAAACACACACGTGAATACATCACCTGGTCTCTCCTTGGTGGCTGGTGCGATGGAAGGGACCGTCTGGGACAACGGCTCTGGAAAGCTGCTGGGAGGCCTGCACTGCTCCCACGCTTGGAATGGAATGCTGTCTCTGCAAATAGTATTTCCCTCGACCTGCTGTGGTCTCATATGGGCATTGGTTCTGATCCTGGTTGCTACACTTCCCATCCACTTCCCTGCTTGTAGCCTGAGAAAGCAGTTGAGGATGGCCCAAAGCCGTGGGACCCTGCACCTGTGTGGGAGACCCAGCAGAAGCTACTGGCTCCTGGCTTCAGATTGGCTCAGCTCCAGCCCTTGTGAAGATAAATTTAGGGGCCCAACACAGTAGCCTGGCAGTTACTGTACATGTGGGGATCCCATACGGGTATCGGTTCTAATCCTGGCGGCCCAGCTCCCATCCAGCTCCCTGCTTGTGGCCTGTAACGGCAGTCAAGGATGGCCCAAGGCTTTGGGACCCGTGTGGGAGACCTAGAAGAGGCTCTTGACTTCTGGCTTTGGATTGGTGCAACTCTAGCCATTGTGATCAATTGGAGAGTGAATCAGCGGACAGGAGATCTTTCTCTCTGTCTCTCCTTTTCTCCGTATATCTGATTTTCCAATTAAAAAAAACTTTAAAAAAGTTTGTTTTAGCACAAATATTCTGAAACCTATACACATGATTTTTTTCAAGATCATGGAAAATGCATATAATGAAAAAGCTGTACAAAAATGCACAAGTTTTGCATCAAAATGAACTTAGGTTTTGATTTCATTTTTTCCATTAATTAAAACATTTTTTTATTGAAAAGGCAGATATTATACAGAGAGGAGATACAGAGAGAAAGATCTTCCAACTGCTGGGTCACTCTTCAAGTGGCCACAATGGACAGAATTGAGCAGATCTGAAGTCAGGAGCTGCCGCTGGGTCTCCTGCACAGGTGCAGGGTGCCAAGGCTTTGGGCCGTCCTCGACTGCTTTCTCAGGCCACAGGCAGGGAGCTGGATGGGAAGTGGAGCTGCCAGGATTAGAACCGGTGCCCATATGAGATCCCAGTGCGTTCAAGGCGAGGACTTTAGCTGCTAGGCTCTCGCACCCGGCCCAATGAGAGGGATCTTGATGTAATCGCTTTACAGAAAAGGAAACATCTAGCAGAAGGAAGAGGTTAAAGCATCTTTCTTCCATGGTAAGAAATTGTCTCAAATGCAGGTGTAACTGTGCGCGTTCAGAGCCTGCCTGTGCCTGAGCCTGCTCCAGTGGGGACCTGGGTGACCCGGTCTGAGCAGTTTGCTGTTTGACGTCTTGCAGCCCCCTCGGGCTAACTGTAGGGGTTCGACCCCACTCTCACCCCCATTCATCTTTCACAAACATCCCCAGAACGTCTGTTCTAGAGGACACCAGCTTCAGCTGCTAGGCTCCAGAGGGCCTGGCTCTGCAATTTCTTGCTGTAGTCATCTTGATTCTATTAGCTTTCGTGCTCCTCTCTGCAGATCTCTGGTCCTCTGCCAACCAGTTCTCCCAGCATCCTTGGTTTGAGTTGGCACTGGGTCACTGTCAGCCTCAGGCTGGTTAGGGTTCAACCTCCTACTGCCCCCAGTGTTGCCACTCAGAGTGCGTGTCTCCTAATCCCCTCTCTCTGTCAGGAAACATGTTCTTACATTCAGCTGTTTAGGAAGGTGTGTTGTTTACGCTCACTGGAACAGTGAGCACCTAATGTCTCCCACATTCTGTTCTTCCCCTGGGAACAAAGGTGCTTGTTCAGAGGGTGGTATTGCTGGGTGAGAGTGCATTCACCCATGGTTAACTCCCATGGCATCTGCTGCACTCCTGTTCCCACGCGGGGGTCACTGCTAAGCCAGTCCGGGATGTCTGTCCATCACCGCTGCTGGAAGCCTGCTTTCCCTCGCTATAGCTTGACCACTTCACCATCAGTAAGAATACATTCCAACTCCAAGAAAAAAAAATCCTGCAGAATTATTTCCCATAGATCTTTGAGCAGTACATGAAACCAGAATGTAGCCAGGTCTGGGTTATATATCCTCCTACAATTGATGGCAGTGAAAATAACAATTCATGAGCCCAGTGCAGTGGCCTAGTGGCTAAAGTCCTCGCTTTGCATGCACTGGGATACTATATGGGTACTGGTTCTAATCCCAACAGCCCCACTTCCCATCCAGCTCCCTGCCTGTGTCCTGGGAAAGCAGTTGAGCACAGCCCGCGTGGGAAAACCAGAAGAGGATCTAGGCTCCTGGCTTTGGATTGGCGCAGCTCCAGCTCTTGGGACCTTGCACCCAAGATCTTCCTCTCTGTCTCTCCTCCTCTCTGTATAACTGACTTTCCAATAAAAATAAA